GGGGTGGGGGGGGGCAAGGCGTTTGGGGGTCAAACCAGCGTACAGGCTCTCCCCTCTGAGGGACGGGTTGGTCGCGCCCCTGTTTTCAACAAGTGCGGAGCGACGCCTGCAGCAGGATTCTGAGCTGCTACCCTTGGGAGAGCGTGATGGTTGGCGTTGTCACACAGAGACATGACACACCATGAATCGGAGCGCAGGCAGGCCCGCCCAGGCGCAACATATGCCCTCTCTCAATACGGCCAGTCAATGGGTTGGGGGTCTGTCCTGCTGTTGAGGCGGTCCCGGCTCACCTTGAACTTGTAGTTGGGGAACTTGCTGCGCAGGCCCTGGTCAAACTTGCAGGGCGAGGCCGGCGCGCCGCGGCTTGTCTCTGCAAAAAGGCCAATAGTGAGCGAAAGGGGACACGGCATCGCAGGATAAGAGGCGGTCGATGGCTTGTCCTGAGTTGACAGGCGCTCGCTCAGCTGCTGCTGCCAAAATCCTTGGACAATCTCCGCACGACGGCCGCCGCTCGCAGCAAACAGCAGCTGCGGGCAATGTTGATATTATCAGCTCAACCTCGCACACGCGCAGCTTCACCTTTGCCATTGTCGTCGCCGTCATCATCGCCCTCGGGGTCGTCGTCATCGCCGCCTTCCGGGTCGCTGACGCTGCGCCGCGCGTCGCAGGTGTCCTCCCCCAGCGTCTCGCGGCACAGCTCCTCCACATTGGTCGCGTTGATGGGCAGGCCCTTCAGTACAGTCGTCGCGGTGTTGAGGCACCTGCGTGGCAGATGCAGAAGAGTATGGAGAGCGTGTGCTCGGAGAGCGGACAACCTCGGCTGCTCGCAATATGAGAGCTTTATTGGCTTCTATAACATAGATTATGATACCTGGCTGGGTTGCGCGTACAGATGCCAGCAATCACCGCGCGCGGGCGCCGCCCACACCTGGTGAGGGGGCTGATGACGGCGCGCACGGCGCGGCCGCCTGTGACCTTCTTGAACCAGCCGCCGCCCCCCAGCATTGAGTTGAGTGACTGCGCCTGTGCCAGGCCCAGGTCCGTCAGGTCTGGTGGGGCCGGGGTGGGGTGGGGCGGGGGCCAGCGGCGTGCCGTCACCACGTGGTAGAGCAGACGGCAACATGGGTAGCACATATGAACAGTGTGGGTGTTTCAGGGGTGGGATTGGAAACGGGCGGATGCGGGCTGGCATGTTGCGCAGGCGCATCGCGCGGCCCTGGCCTGTATACCCTGTGCTACATAGCTGCGGCCGCAGCAGCGCTCACACCCGCTCTGCCGGCGTCTCCAACTACCCACATGCCAGCGTCTCCAACCCCTGGGCCTCCGGGAGCCCACCTGCATCGAAGATGTCCCAGTGCTGTCCGTCTTTGTCTGTGTACTCGCAGGTGCCCTCCACTGCATACCACTCGTCGGGGCCGAGGGTGTCCCCCAGGTAGTTGCTGACAGCCTGGCCGTGGCGCACCACCAGCAGCAGCTTGCGGTCTGGGGTTTTCGGTGGCATCGTGTGCGCATGGGGAAGGGGCGGGCGCTTAGGCAGTGACCAGGCACCGACAGAGCTCTCTGAGCGGGCAATCAAGCGCATTGTTGTGGCTGCAATGAGATTGCAGCTCAGATGTAAACAGAGCGAATAGATAGCTCAACCTCGTTGATGCCTCACCCTCCTTGTCCTCGAGCAGCGACAGGATCTCGTCCCAGGGCTTGAGGGCGCCGAATGAGAAGTGCTGACCAGGGCCTGGCAGGCCCTTGGAGGCGCGCTCCTGGGAGGGTTGCGATGCAGAGCAAACGAGGGTGGAGCGTTTGGGCATGAGCACCACTTGCTACGCAGTTTCCTGGCACCACATTGTCACTTACAGCGGAATTTGCCAGGGAAGCCACTTGGATCCAGAGTTGCGGCACCCTCCCCACTGCAAGCCGCCGTCCCCACTGCAAGCATGCCAAGGCTGACCTGAATGAACAGCCCGGAGGGTGATGTGTAGGGCTTCCGTTTCGGCTTGTGGTGCCTCTCAAGGTTGCCGTCGACGGCGTTCACAGCGGGTGCGCCCGCCGTCGCCGTCGCCGCAATGACATCGCTGTCATGGAAACAGCGGGGGCCCAGCACCGCCAGGGCCGTAATGAGCACAACAGCGGCAGAGGTCACCGCCACCCACGCCCCGCAGCGCTTATACATTCTTGCCACTCGTTTGAGGTAGATGGGGAATGGGTTCGCTGTGTTTATCTCGCGACTCTGATCTTGGCTGCAGATCGGGGGGTATTTAGGGCCGATGGCTGCGAATCTTGAACAATGCAGCCACTAATAACTGTTATAGATTGCTCTCAGGAAAGGAACGCGATGCAATAGGACGATGCGTTGGCCACGTGGAAAGGCCTCACACAACAGGTATCTCAAAGCTGGTTAGAGCAGCAGGTACCACAGATTAATCACATATTACGGCATACCTGGCGTGTCCTTGCTGTACAGTATTGGTACAGCAGGTTCAAGCGCCATGCCCGTGCAGCTTGCACTGTCGCGCAAGCCCGGCAAGCATGCTGTACGGAGCGTTGCCGGCATCATGTCATGCTCTGGCTCCATGAAATTGTCTGCTGCTGCTCAAACGTGCTTGCAAGAGCAAAGTCTCTAGGCATTCATGTGGCCCGTTGGTCAAACGGGTCAACTTGTGCCTCGTCGTCTGTGATTGATGCACTTGCAGCTGTCTAACAGAGTGGTGAGGTTGCTAGCATCATTAATGCACGTTTGTATGGTACCATGACGGAGTCAGAGGGATGCTATCAGAAAAACGAGGGCCTCTTGAGTTCGGGCCTGTTGGGCTGGAGGGTGACGGCGAAACAGGGGACAGTGGCCAGATGGCCGGCCTCAAGCGTGCACGGAGGCGACAAGCGCCATTTGAGCATCCACCAGCCCCCACACTGCTAGTAAGAGGGACCAAGGGGCAGTATCGCCTCTGCGTGTTGTTCGACAACAGTTGCCTTGTCGGCATCAACTGCTGCTGCAGGGTTCATCTCTGCTCGAGTTATCATAGCAATGAGACCTGGCACTTCGCATTGGCTGCGATACATTCCGCATGCCTGATCAGGCTGATGCGCGAGCCGCTTCCTCACATCCGTGAGAGGCGCGCACCTGCAGTGCACGCACCAATGCGAATCGAAGTGTCGGACAGGCGCGAATGTGCCTGGCAGCGGCTGCATAATTACCCTGCACTCTTGATAATGGGCTGAAGGCGCTTTGAATCGTAGTTTGCTAGAGTTTATTTCAGCACCAAGACTGCGTGATCTTCCACGCCACGAGCACGAGCAACGCAGCAACGCAAGCCGAGCAAGCAAGCAAATAGTATTTTAGCAGGCCTCCAGCTTCACGAGGAACTGCAAGGCCTATGATAGCTGCGGCGCGCGCAAAGTCAACACTACAAGTGCTGCAGCAACGTCGATGCTGGCGCCTGCATGCCGTGACCGCAATGATGGGGACGGTGGCAGCGGCAACAGCCGCAGCAGCCCCTGCGGAGTGGCGGCGCAAGCGTTGTGCTCCTACCGCCACGGGTACGGGGGCGTCGACACTCCGGCGCTCGGCCGTGCCCTGCGGAAGCTGCAAGATGCGCTCGAGTCCGAGGCGGCGCTCAGCTGCTGCGGAGGCGGCGACGACAGCGGCGACATCGACAGGGCTTCCAGCAGTGGAGGTGAGCGGGTCTCAAGCTGCAAACAATCCTCGCAAGGGCGCTGCTTGTGATGCAGGAAATTTATCGGTCGCTTGGACAGCAGCCTCAACATGGACCCTCAGTCCACGCGCGGCCCGCATTGGTTTCCACGAAACATCCCCAGGGCTCCCGACGCAGCTCGAGCGCACCCTGATTCAGCACTCCCCCGCCGCAAAGAGGGCGGACCCGACGCGGCAGCAGCGGCGCCATGTGCAGGAGGCGGGGCATCCCCGCGCCCCCGAGCAGCAGCGGCGGCCGGGCACGGCGTGCGAAGCGGCGGCGCTGCAGCGGGGCGCCCGGCAGCGCCGCGACGACCTGATCCGCTCGATGCAGCGGGACCTGCGGCAGGGTCTGGCGGACTCGCGGGGCGAGGGCAGGTGCAGCGCAGACGCTGCTGCCGCCGCAGAGGTGACTGCCGGGCATTGGTTTTGTCGGTCGCCCTTGGGGGCGGCGGTGCCATTTCGTCCGGCTGCCTCGCTGCTCTGCTCACCTGTGCATGCGCACAATGTCACCTGCATGCTAGGTTTTGTGACCATGTAGCAGCAAGGCCATTGAGAGCCGTGCGGCAACGCGCCCCGCCCCGTCCCAGCAGCTCTTGGCGTGGCGCGGCGCCGCCCAAAAGGCAGGTGACCTGGCAGAGGTGGCGCAGCGCGGGCAGGCGGCGGCAGAGGCACGGGCCGCCGAGATGGAGGCGGCAGGTGCGCCGCCCGGTGCCCAGGAACGCCTGCTCCTGCCATGCATCAACTCTTACATGCAAATCAAGCAGTCCTGGGCCACCACTAGCAGTCCTCGGCCGCTCTTGACTGCATGGACACGGCTGCGCTTCACCTGGGCCGCCGCCCCCCCCCCCCCCCCC